TTCACTTGGCTGTTTTTCTTATTTTCCCAGGGGATGGCTCTGCCTACAGAGATCTGGTTATTAAATACGGTGCAATTGAGCCGCTGCTGAGTCTCCTCGCTGTTCCTGACCTCTCCTCCCTGGCTGTAAGTGTGCACTGGGATTCACATTACAATGACTAAGTGAGCAAAAGCAAATGAAACCATTTCTAACCCTTTATTTCAACCCCTGCAGTCGGGATATCTGCGCAACGTTACCTGGACCCTCTCAAACCTGTGTCGCAACAAGAACCCTGCCCCTCCCATCGAAGCCATCCAGCAGATCCTGCCCACCCTGGTCCGCCTCCTGCACCACGACGACCCTGAGGTGCTGGCAGACACCTGCTGGGCCATTTCCTACCTGACAGACGGTTCCAATGACAGGATAGAAGTTGTTGTGAAAACCGGGTTGGTGCCACAACTTGTGAGACTCCTGGGGTGTAGTGAACTGCCAATAATGGTAAGTTATTGGATGTGCAGGTTGCTGTTGCTTGATTTGAATCGTGGATAAAACAAGTAGCGTCCACATAACTGAATGGTTCCTTTCATACATAAGTCAGATCCTTGTTCTAGGTTTTGTGTGGGTGAGACTTGAGTTCTGCCTTACACAGAGCCTGCTCCACACAAGGCAGACAGCTTTGTGGTGGTGACTATCAAGCTGCTTTCTGTAATCATGGATTTAACTCACAACCCAGCACAGCAGTCAGCATTCTTTAAAGCTTGCCTTTAAACTGCTGTTACAAATCCAACTTCTAGGGACAGTGTTTACAAGTGGGCTCTGTGCACACTGTAATTACAGTATAATAAAGCTGCATTAGTACTTAGCAGGTAGTTTTCCTGAGCTCTGTCCTGGGTGGTTGTTTGCAGATTGGCCTTGGAAGGTGTGCAGTCTTAGCATCCTTAATGTCTACCTGTGTAATGCTAACTAGGAACCTGAAACTCCTTGTACAGAGCATATCATCTGTTAACTGGGAAGGTTAGAGTGGATGGGCAAGAAGTGTGGCTGTATCTGGTATAATATAATCTGGTTTTTGATCCATTTTCCTAAGTAATACATTCCTCTTTGTTTCAGACTCCTTCATTAAGAGCCATAGGAAATATTGTCACTGGTACTGATGAGCAGACACAGCTTGTTATTGACTCAGGAGCACTTGCTGTCTTTCCAAGTCTCCTTTCCCACCATAAAAACAACATTCAGAAAGAAGCAGCCTGGACCATGTCCAACATCACCGCAGGGCGTCAGGATCAGATCCAGCGAGTGGTGGACCACGGCCTGGTGCCTTATCTCATTGGCATTCTGAGGAAGGTAAGCAAAACCTATATTTGCCATTTTTAGGCTTTTCCTCTTACTACTGTCTGTGTTCAAACACTCTGCTTTTACCTCTGCAGGGGGATTTCAAGTCTCAGAAGGAAGCAGTGTGGGCTGTGACGAACTACACAAGCGGTGGGACAATTGACCAGATTGTGTATCTTGTTCAGGCTGGTGTTCTTGAACCACTACTCAATCTTCTCACAACTAAGGACAGCAAAACTGTGCTGGTTATCCTGGATGCTGTTTCCAATATCTTCCTGGTATGTGGGTGCAGTATGCTTGATTGTTGTCCAAGCTGTTGCTATTGGCTCTCCAGTAGTGCTGCCATACATCCTTCCCGAGGTGATTCCACGCTTTTCTCTCACAGGCTGCTGAGAAGATTAATGAGACTGAGAAGCTTTGCCTCATGATTGAGGAGTGTGGGGGTCTAGACAAAATTGAAGCTCTTCAGTCACATGAAAATGAACAAGTGTACAGAGCCTCATCCACCATCATTGAGAAATATTTCTCAGCAGAAGTAAGTGGCTGCTGAGGGGTTTTTTTTCCACTTTCATTTTCTATTCTGGCACTGACTACTAGGTTAAAATGCTACTGCTATTTCAACACTCTCTTCTTTTCCTTCTAGGAGGAGGAAGACCAGAATGTTGTACCAGAGTCTACTGCTGACAGCTACACTTTCCAAATCCAGGGCAACACCCCCAATTCTTTCAACTTCTAGATCTTGTAGATACTGCAGCCACCTACAAGTGGTTTAGCACAGAAATGACTGCCACCTCTTTGTCTTAATAATTCCTCTTGTTTTTACTGCCTTTTCTGTGTCCTGTAGCACTTTATCCAACTGAAACATACTTGAACAGTTCAAACTATATATGTCTGTGAATTCCTAACTGTAAATGTCCTTCTCTGAGGTCTGCTTGTAAATACTTCCTCTTTCTGTCCTTGTCAGGGGTAAGAATGCAAGTGAGCAATGCAGGCCTGTCACAGAGCACGAGCCATCCACCACTCTGCAGGCCTCTAACCTTCTACCTGACCTGTTGCTGTACAACACACAACAGGCTTTTAAAGAGGATTTACTTGAAGTTCAATAAAGTGTTATCAGTACATCCAATTCAGCTGTGTCACTTGCTCTTTCAAAGGCTGATTGTGATAGGGTAAGTAAAATTAGTCAGAAGTAGATAATGGCATGAATTATCTGTCATGTCATGAATTATCAAGTCTAAACTGTGGGAGATTCAATGCTGAAGATGGTGGGTTTAGAACAGCTCGGGCACCCCAAGCTCTGACTTTTGCAAACAGCTGCCTTCTATTACTGCAGGACCACGGAATTGCTGCTTCTCTCCAGATATTTCCTATAGAAATCTGACTCATCTTACCCTGTTCATAACTGAGCTAAATTAGCTTCTGCCTTTTGGAGAAATATTTAAAGACTAGAAGTGCTACTTAACTGCAGGTAATAGTGTGGAGGAGGGGTAAGTACAGCAGTTAACCAATTGTACAGATGTTCAGGATAGAGCTTAGGAGGGGCTTTGAAGCTGTTTCCTGCTCTAGAGGGCAAAAATTATGGTCTTTTCTTGGAATTTGTTGTCCCTTCATTTTTAAAATCATTACTCACAAGAACCCATTCTCTCTCTAGAGGTGGTTGTGTAGGGTGGGTGAGTGGAGAGGAAGAACTGTAGTTCTGTTTTCCAGCTTTTTGGTAAAACTTGGATTGAGCTATTTACCTGGAATCTCCCAGGAGTCAAATGCATTAGAATAACAGTATTGTCTGAGCTCTCTGAGCTTTTTTAGCTCCAATGATGGTGCAGGAGAGGACAGAGTTGAGGGGTAGATGTTTTATAGCCATGACTTAATTGGACCATAGCCTGTAAATTTATTAATAAAAGGTAGGGGGGGGAAAACCTAATATGTAGGCATTTCTCCCAGAATTCCCATTGGCTTTGCTTCTGCCTTGATGCAGGAGGGGAATAAAAACCCCAAACACAAAACAAAAACCCCTTTTATTCTCCTAAATCGACCTGATGAAAGAATCTGGTTTTGTCTTATGCATTAGTCACCTGTTGAGTGCTTCCAAGTCTGTTTTGAAGTGCACAAGCATAGAAAAGTGGATCTGGGTGTAACTCTTTGGCAATCCATGTAGGATCAGATGTGCTTCATGAAGAATTCATTCCTGTGTACTGCTAACAAAGATTTCTTTTGAGTTACTGTGGATGGTGTCACTCCTGCTTTCATTAGTGTGGGGCAGATCCATCCTCTCCCACAACTTGCTCCCTGTCCCACACTTGCTGGCAAATGGTTCCCTCCCCAACTGGAGGCTGGTGATGACATCTGGACCATGTGGCCTCTGTGGATCTTGGCTATTGTTGGAGTGTGACAATGTTACAAAGGGGAGCAGATAATTTGTCTGCATATACAGTCATCTAGGTCTCTTTGTTAGCAGCAGTAGGGGTTTGTGCAGAGCCATCACTTGTGAGTCACTGCCCCAATGATAGTTCTGCTGGGCTATTTAAGGTGTGAGCTCCTCCATCCAGCTCAGAGGGTGGCCTTGGTGACACACATGCTTCTGTCACTGGTGTATCCACGGGGGTTGCAGATTTTACCTGTCACAAAGGAGACTGCCTTGCAAAAACCCCACTATCCTGGCCTGATTAATAGTGATCTTTGTACTTTGGACTGTACCATGTAAACTGTTTTTCTTTACACCCAAAAAAGCTGCAGCTGTCTCTAAAGAGGTGGAACTGTAGCTGTGGAGTGTTCCCAGCCCTGCCTGGCCCCTGTACTGAGGGATGAGCTGCAGGTGGCACCCAGAACCTCTGGAAGCAGCTGGACAGTGCACTGAGGAGAATGGTCTGACACCACGGATACTGCAGCATCTTTGGGACTAGGGTTTGGTATTTACACAAGTACTGCTAAGGGGAAAGATCCACCTTCCTTGCAATGCTCAAGCCTTTGTTCTGAGAGGAAAAACCCCAAGGGCATTTACACATCTGCTGTGAAGCCTCCTCTGTCCTTTGCTTTGATGTCAAACCTCCAGCCCTGACCTAAAATCATCAGTTGTAAAATCATGATTTTCTGTGTAACTGTAGGGAACTGAAAGAATTAACCTATAGAAAACAAATTGTGCAAAGTCAGCTTTAATCAGTGAATCATTCCTTCCCCACACTTCGTGTTTGTGGGTTTATACGGGCAATGACATAATGGCTTGTGAATTCGGAATTCCGAATTTTTGCAGCTGTAAAACACGGCCTGTGCCGGCAGAGGGCGGTGCCGGCGCCTCCCAGTCCCGTTTGCTGCTGGATGAGGTGGGATAATCCCGCCTGGAATACTCAGGTGGGATCTGCTCCCTTTTCCTGTTAAAAACACCGAGATAAAATCTTTGTAGTCACGCAAACATCTATGTGCTAACTTCCAAATACTTAATCAGATTAAATATTGAATATATGATACAACCTTTTAAAAGCCCCTTTAAAGTCAGGGTACTGTTACTTTAAAACCCAAATCCTTGATTTAATTGCTCTTTAGCATATGTGCAGTAACTTTGGCTTTTCTATCTCTGTGTGTATATATCTGAGAATGCAGAACACTTGTTCAATAGTATTATCTTTTTTTTTCCCCCCCTGAATTAATTGTTTCAGATTTATCTAATATATTGAGTTAAGAATAGAACACTGCAAATTCTTCTCCAGATGCCTGACAGCTCAGTGGCTTAATAATTAACTTTCTGGGGACTGAGACACTGTTTTTATCCAAGAAAAATGTGTTCAGCCTGTCCACCAATGAGCCCTGTTGGCAGCACCAATTTCCACAAGCAACAATCTACAGTGATTATGAGTAAGTGACTGGGGTGAGTCACTCCTTATTCTAAGAAAATGCAAACTATTTCTGAGGTTGGGATCACAGTCACCCATGAGGCTGCATCTCGAGCTTTAAAAAAATGGTAGGAGCAAAAAAGGGAGAGGAGAATTATTATTGCTCCTGGTTCTTAGTTTGTTGGGTTTGGGGGGTTTTTTTGGTCATATTTAGGAGCTTGTCCTCTTCATTTGTCAAATGACTAATTCAGGACAAGGGCTGGAATAAAAGTCTGGTGGCCTGTGTGTCAGTCTGCCAACTCCTCTGTGCTGAGAGCAACAATAACAGACCCCTGCTGACATCAACTGCCTTGGAATGCAGTTGTTGCTAATGCTGCTTTATCTGTGGAGGGATGGCAAGATTTTAGTCTGAGATCTCAAACATAACCACCTCTGAAACTCTGATGCCAGCAGATGCTCCTGGGTGATTGCTTCCACTTGCTGTTCCCAAAGGTGCCAGGCTTTGGAAGAAGGGCAGAGGCTTTGCAGTCCTGTAGTTCAGTAGCAAGTCTGTTCGTCCACTACAGGAAGAACAATTTAAACTGTGGAAAAGCCAGAAATGGTGAAATTTGTAGAAATTAGACTGAAATATTCTCTTAAGCAAAGCTGCTTCCTGCTATTCTATCCAGAATGATTTAAATTGCACAGAACTACAGGAATACCAGCAAAAAGGAACAGCTGTAAGTTTGCAGGAGGAGGAATTCACTAGCCAACAACCTTTCACAGCTCTCTTCTGTTCCTAAATCTATTTTACAGCAGAGCAAACTGAGACATGAAGTTATCCACAGGCGTTCATAAAGTAGCTGGCAGAATTCACCTGGAGCCTGGGAATCCTGATGTCCATTCCTCCAGTTAACCCACAGCACCTCTGGTCACAGTTATCCTCTTCCTGACTATTGGATTATCCCGGGAGTATTGAAGCTCTTCTATGATAAGGTACAGCATAGATTTAAGTACAATCTAAACTCTGGAAGAGTGTGCAATCTGGAAAAGAAGCACTGTTAGTCAAAACAGGAGTAATTAATGAAGGTTAATTATGTCTGGTGATATTTGACCTATAATGGGAAATGTTGGGACTTTCATTTAAAACCTAATAGGAAACACATTAACCCTTTGGCCTTCAGGGGAACATAGCAGCAGAAAAGTCTAACAGGGAATTAGGGGACCCCTCCTCAGTTGGGAGGGGTGTACCCAAGACAACTGGAAATTTCAGAAAACTTCAGAATTTCAGCTACAGGTGTGCCAAGTTGTTCACTGTGTGTTTGGAAAATCTCATTGATCCAGGGAATGGCACTGACAGGAGTCAGGTAGAAACTCCCTGTGTGGACACAGCTAAGAGAGAATTGATTTGCTGGGAGTTTCATGGCACTTCCTCTGGATGAGGGGTCACTGGATTCCTGTTTCTGAGTGCAGAGCACTGTCTGTCTCAGACTGGCTCCAGGAAATGGATGCTATTCCGCAGAAGCCAGAAGATTTCGTGGAAGAGCCGTGGCCTGTTTCCAGGTTGCAGTTCACCCACTGCCCTGGGGAGGGTCATTAGTGGGAGGGAAGTGGAGTTGGGATTTAAAGGCACGAGGAGAGGAAAGAAAAATGACAGCAGGATGGAGAAAAATCCTGTCAATCCTTACTAAGGATTGGCACTTGACCACATTAAAACGTGCTGATCATCTAAATAAAACAATGGCCCAGCTCCAGAAATGATGTGTAAATCACGGATCAGGGAGGGACTGACACACTGAAAGCAAAGTCAATGGCACTGGTTTCACTGGGGAGGAGGTTGGAGCAACCTATGAGCTCAACAAAAGAGGTGCAGTGTAGTGAGGAATTGTTCTCCTTTATTTCACATCTTTCTTAATTTGCATCGCAATGTGAAATGGAAATCATGGGGTCATCTTTTAAAGGTGGTGTTTATATATTTTTTATATATTTATAAGTCATGGGGTCATACAGATAAATATATATAAAAGAGTGGGAAGCTGCCTAATTTGTTCTCTGTACCAGATTGCTTTGTGTGCAGGTTCCCAGTGGTGAAATAGCTGTACCAGCAGGAGTGTGTAACAGTGCTCTGTGGGCATGTGGAAGACTGGAGGTACAAAGTTATCAGAAAATCTTGAGAAATCTCCAAAGCACATTTCCATCATCCCAATCACTTCATTTTTACCCACTATATGAAACAGATGTAAAAATAGCTCTTTCATCAGTGGATTGCTACACATATTTGGGCTGCAGAGGCTCAGTTCTGTTCAAGGCAACGCTGTGAAATCATTTGCAGAATGTGCTGTTAATCAGAAGCAGCAATTTAATGTTACGTATCCATCTCTCCTCCCACCCCCAGCTCCCCTTCCCAATTCTGAGCAGGAAACGACACTTGGATGGAGCTCAGCACTCTGACTTTCTGGATAGACTCTCTAGGAATGAGGAGGGACTTGAATTCTCTCCATATGTCATTTCCTTTCCCCTAATGGCTAAAAAAAAAAAACCCATTGCTGCAGTTCATATAACTTAAAATAGAGAGAACATTCCCAATACAGGGAAATCAGGGCAGGGGGATGGGGCAGACAGGACATCCACATTCCACCTCTGAAGAACTGCTTTGGAAAGTTGGACTTGAACTAAGCAGGAATTTTTCTTCCTTGTAGAAATATTGTTTTATGTAGTTCCTAAAATTGAAGCTATTACCCATCTGTACCTAAGAGTATATCAACACCTGCAGTCTGGGGCCAGACATGGATTAGGGAAGGAAAACATAAGTAGAGGGGGAATGGTAACAACTTTACAAGATGTAAATGAAGTCAGAAAGGAAAAACAGAGGGAATTGAGGAAACCTAACAATGGGGATCTAATAATTTCTAAAAAACCCAATTTTAACAGCAAATTATCATAGGACTTAAAAAAAATCAGCTTAGCCCAATCCTGCAACCAGCTTTTGTCCAGACTACCTTTAAAAACTTTTCTGTTTGGTACAAGCAAGAGCATCTGCAGATATCCCACAGTGCTGCAGAACACAAAACTCGATCTGCTGTGTTGCACAGTGGATTTGCAGCTGTCAACAGAGTTCAGTGTGCTGTAGTTACAGACAGAAAAAATACCCCAGGAACAAACATGACAGGAAAAAACCCCAAGAAAACCCATTTTAACTAAATGGAAAGTTTACTTCTTCATAGCCAGCCCATACACATCTAATGTGTATTAGATCCAAATTGGAACATAATGTCTTTCTAGCAGCATAATCCAAATGTTTGTTAAATTTGTAGAAACCAAAGTGTGCAATGAGCTTTGCAGAACAAATGAGAGATGACATTTACTCAAAGAAACCCTAAATTTTGCCCTCAGTGAATGAGTTGCATGTGCACAGAGGGGCTGGATGTGTCTGCTTGCAGGATGATTATATTTGGTTATATCACATCTTTCATTAGACACATTGCCTAATTAGACATGTTGCCCCTGAATTCTACTGCTAAAAAGAAAAGGAGAAATCCACCTTTCCTCCAGTTCTATTTTAAAGGGTTTCAAATGTAGAATAAAAGACTGATTCAAGACACATGGTGACAGATTTTGCTTTAGGTTACTTTTAGCACTTCACCAGACCCGCTAACCTACTTTAATACCTGTGCTGTTCTTATCTGGCATGAAACCTTGCTTTGTAATTTCTAGAATGAAATATTTCAGAGGTATTTTTAGAGAAAACTTTATCTTAAATCCTCCCACATTGATTTCACAGCGAACTCAGTGATTGTTAAAAGAAAGCACAAAAGAAGCCAGTACAGCCTGTGGACAGGTTAAGTATTTCTGCACTTCAGAAAGTATTAGGAATTAGGGTTTTTTTAAAAAAAGAGAGATTGCTCTGTTTATTGAACCTGCAAATGCTTTTGTGCCATGATTGAGCTTATTTGTGGATTTAGTTTTCATGTAGCATGTTTATAAATGTCTCCAGAATTCATGTAGGCAAAGTGGAGTGTTTCCAAAGCTGGATAGCCTGGGCTCCTTTCAGCAATTCCCAGAACTGTGGGGAGACGTGGTTTGCACAGTCTGGGACAGCTCATCTGACTCTGAGTGGCTGCTTCCCCCTGGCAGAAAATAACCATCTCATGGGGTTAAGGCTTTGTGAGCTATTTTTGTCTTTGAACCTTGCAGATTCAGCTACCTGTAGAAGTACACGATATTGTCATAATTTGATAAGTTTCCTGGAATTAATCTTGCCTCTTGAATGGAAACCTTTGGAAGTAACTTGTATGAGACACATGGAAAAACTTCCACTTCCTTGAAGAAACAGAGAAAATCAGCACTACCAGGTGAGGGCTGTTTTAAGTGACTTGTGCTGCCCCAAGATGCTTTCTCTGCAAACATTATATGGCCAGAGGAGTCTGCTGCATATTATCTATATCTGTATTTATCTCTGACAGCCACAGTCCCTGCAACAGATTGGAATGAGATAATTTAGTCCTCTTAAACCTCATCATAACCCCTGACATGTGGAATTCTGTAAAGCTGGAAATGTTAATCCCTGAATATTTAGATAAGTAACAATGGCCAATGAGAACCAGCTAATTGTGCCAAAGTATTAAGGCTTATCAGATAATGCTCTAGGGTTTTTGGGGAGCCAGGAAAGCATCTCTGCTTTCCATGGCTGTGTGGATGGAAGGTGCATCACAGAACATTTTTTACTTCTTCCAAAGCATTAAATAGTGGCTGTGGCCCAAGCAGGGTGTTAACTGGACAAGAGGCTGGTTTAAGAAGGCAGCTAATTCCAGTGTATCACTGTTGATCAGGTACCTGAGGGGTGAGTTTACAGCAGCAGGACTGAGTCAGCTCCTGGCACCCCTTGCTCTCTGCATCACCACCATAATTAAAACTCAGAGAGACAGCATAGGACATTTTACAGCTCATCTCTGGCAGACCACAAAGTCATTATTTCAAACTGATGCTGGGCCACGGGGGATAAGAAAGATTAGAGAAGATTTGATTTTCCTTTAGTGGCTAAATAATGTGGCTTGGTCAAAAACAGTGCTGTCAACTCTCCTAAATACTTGTTTGGGCTGAGAGTCTTCCCAATAACACTTCATTTGTCTGAGCTGTGTTCCACTGGGACAACACACACCGTGTCCAGTTGAATCAGGCACTTTCTGCAGACAGATGTTGTAGTACAGCAGTGAAGCAAATTCTTGGTACATGTCACTCAGAGGAGACTGTTTCCAAGTGTCTTGTCCTATAAGGTCTTCTAGGAACCTCCTTGTACCAGCCCAGTAAACCTAAGAATGAGATTCTCCAGTTGCTTCAGTCACAAAGAAACATGAGAATGTCCTGCAGAGCAATTGCACGAGGGAACGTGTGGTTCCTCAGGAAACCTCGGTAATTTCAGTTGGAATATTTAGCATGTGGTTCTCAAAGCACTTGACAAAGCCTATTCATGTTATGTTCAATGCCTGTCTCTAATATCTGCCTTTTCTTCTTCCAAAATTGCATTGGGATAGCACTGTCCTGCAGGACATGATGAGGAAACAACGTGGCTAAAGGGACTGCATGGAATATCTGTGCATCAGTTACTAATCCGTTCTGGATGGATGGACTTAGAAGTTATCTTAGTGACTAACCACTGGAAAATCCTGTGATATGGGAGCTCATGCATTTTTCTGTAGCCACAGCTGCAGTCATTTCCCTTCAGAGACACATCATTTCCCCAAGACACATCCTGTCTCAGAGGGCCACGGTGTCTCTGCTCCAAGCTCTGTCCCCTGTCGCAGGAGCCAGAGTATGGGTGGAGATTTCCTTCCTAGTTTCTTCTCCTGAAAAGCTTCATCTCCAGCTCCAGCTTGAGAAATGGATTGAATCTTGACCTCTTGCATAAACATTGTCTCTGCGTGCCAAAGGGAGCCTTAGTGAGAACCAGAGCCCCTGTCTAGACATGTTTCTTCATCCCAGCACTCCGAGAGGTATGTCTTCCACTGGGGGTTAACTCTCCTGGTCTCGGAGCAGCCACAGGGACAGAGTAAAACCAGACTTTTAAACATGTGCACCTCAGTGCTTTAGTGCAGTTTGTTCTGTTCACCAGCAGCGCAGACAATGCTCCAGTCTGACAATTTTCATAATCTGCAAAGGGAAAAAAGGAATCTTGTACAAAGGGAAACTTTCTGTTCCCAGTCTTTATTCCTGAAATGCAGGAGCACTTTATACGTGACTGCAGCGGGGTTTGATCCTTTTGTACAGGGAAGGCAGCAGAAAAGGCAGCCCCACAGAGGACAGAATTCCATTCAGGAACAGGACAAAAATGTGATGGATCTGCAATGAGTTTAGGAAGTACTTTAGCGATGGTGAGAAGTTATGATTGGCTTAGAGAAGGCTTAGAATGAAAACCTGTGCCAAAGAGGCAGACAGGGAGAACAATGCCCATTGCAAGCAAAGGTGCTGATGGAGCAGGAATGCCTTGAAAGGGAATGAGTTAATCAGGTAAATTAAGAAAGAAGCAGGGAACACTGGTGGTAAAAATGTTCCTCATCCTTCACAATTTTTTAAAGAATTTATATCTTGTTTTTGCCACATTAACAAGGCTTTATAAAAAATATGATAAGAAAGGGAAAATAATTTTGTAAATATTTCAAATGTATTTATTTTTAAAATAAATTGAACCTGCTAGATATATAAATCTTCAGGGGGCTGCTTAGGTGTATTCTGCTGTAACACTCCTCAGAACTACACCATTAGGTGGCAAAATAGGCATTTAGCATTAACAGTTGCACATACAATGGAAAGACGTTGCAGAGAAAAAGAAAATGGAAGTGTAATTCTCTTCTGATCAATTAATCTTTAGCTCCATGATCTCTAGGGGTGGTGTCTATATAATTTCAACCATGACAGGTTCTGGGAAATCTTAGTAAATGAAGACAAGTAGAATGAAATACAATCCAGATAATTTTAAAGATCTTTATTTTAAAAAACTGCCTCAGGAAAATAGTTTTAATCTTTCACTTTACTCACAAAAGCTTAATAGTAGGGGCAGATCTCTCTTGCTCTCTTGATAACATTACAGAAGCTGGGGAAGAATGTGACATAACACCAGCCAGCTCTCGTTACTGCTGAAGGAATGTGCTGTGATTAAACCTCTATACAGAAAGAAATGGAATGTAATTCTTAAATGTTGATTTGCTTTGAACACATACCACATGCTGAGCAATGAGTTTCCAGTATATTCTTTCAGTTTCTAAAGGTGGGGAGGACCTCACCTCCGAAAAATTAACTACTCCAAAAAATTCCTCTTCTGGAAATGAACACTACCTGGTTGAAGGTGTTTATTCACATTTCCCAGTGTCCAAACCCACTAAATCCTTTGAGGACTATCTGTGAGTGCAAAACTTTCTTTTTCTTCCTCTTGGGAAACTCAAGAAATCAAAGCTCTTTTTTTTGCGCAGCCATAGAAGAAATTTTTGTATTTCTAAACACTTCTTCAGAAGTTTCACTCAGGGGATACCAACTATCACCTTATTTTGTCCTCATGGACTCCTCAACAGCCCTGTTGGTGTCCTAAAGATGCCTGAACTTGCCCCTTCTCTGTGTTTCCTCCAATCCTTTAGATGGAGCCTCAGCTGTGAACTCCTGGCTGAGGAAGGCTGGATGGAATTCCCTCCTGAGCCCAGCAGCAAGGCTGTTATCCAACAGTGAGCTGTGGGGTGATGCAAGGCACTCCCATCCCTCTGGATCCCAGCTGGCTACCTCAGCTTGAAAGGATTTGTTGTTCAGTGATATCAGCCTGGAGTGAAACCTGGAGCTCTTGTCAGCAGCTAATGATGGTTTTTGCTTGCCCCTCTCACAGGATCTCACAGGATGAAACCTCCTCTCACCTCTGGAATGGAACTGTGTAAACACAAAATTCACTGTAAGCTCTTGGCTTCTAAAACCTAAAGCAGGATCAGCAACATATTGGTTAATTTGAGAGTATTTTGAGAACCTAGGGGACAGCACTGGCACAAGAACCTGTGGATCATGACATTCCTGTGGAATTCCCTTGGGAAAGTAGCACTTCGAACCATCAGGTGCTGTCAGCATGTTTGGTCCCCCACATTTGCTGCAGTTTCTGGTGCTTTGAGAGGCTTCCTGACCTCTGCTCACTGCAGATCTTGCACTGAATCCCTCATGAAGCTGCTCATCTCAAATCCTGCTCTTGGCACTTCTACTAAGGGAAGGGGAGCAATGGGTAAAAATCTTTATTTCCCAACAGGATTGGGACACAAACATCTGTGGGACACCCAAGGCACTGCCATTGTAATGCTGATACAAAGACAGAAGGGAAAAGTGAACTCTTTGCATCTGGTGCAGCTGTCTGTCCAAGTGCAGCCTGACCTAGGTGGTTCTACCCCTGTTAGGACCCAGTCCTGACCTAACTGGGACACAGACCTGCCTGCTGGGCTGATGAGAGCTGGAGCCCCTCTTCTCTCCCCCTGTTAAATACACACCTACTCTACAGGATTTATCTTGGATGTATCAGTAAAAATCCTCAAGCCACGTTGGCTGTTTAAAAATAAATAAATAAAAAAATCAAATATCCTATCTATTAAAAAAAAAGAGCCCAGCAGCAGCAGCAATCTTGCAGGCAGCACATTTTATACAGTGACCCAAATGCAGGGACTGTCAGTTAATGCTCTCACACTTGCAATAAATCACAGTGTTTTCACTCAAAGGCAAGCAGCGTGTCCCAAAATCTCAGAAAAATTTATAGTTCTCTGAAAAGCAGTATGAAACTAAGTGTGCTTCATGACCTCTAAAACCCACTTTTAATGAAAGCATTAAATGTTCATAAAACTACTGAACAATGAAATACTGTACTTAATCCCAAAGGTTTTTTTTTTAATATTGGCATTGCAATTAATGTCTGACACGCTAGTTATCCATTAGAAAGAAATCATTAGTAAGAGTTCTATGTTTAACATAACATTAAATACTTTTGTCAAATTATATCAGAATTATTGAATGCTGGGTCCAGAGAGCACTGCAAGACCTCAGAAATGAATAATCATCACATGTTAGGAAAAATCTAGAATAACCTAGAAATATGTGAAGTATGTGAAAAGTAGCTTTATATTTTGTTTTTCTATTCAGTTCAGCAGTGGCCAGGTAATGTTGCAATATTTGCAAACCATCAGCCATTTGCTTTACATACTTGGTTTGAGAAAAGGATAATGACCTGGCTATGTGAATTTGTAACAGATTGGAATTTAATAGTATGACCTTCAATTACAAAGGCTGATTTTTCTTCTGTTTTTTTGTGGGTTTTTTTTAACGTAGGAATCAGGACACCTGGAATGTCTTTGAGGTGTGTGTGAATTTACAGGAACCACGACAAAGTAACTTTTTAACCGTTTCAGTGCAATGTAAAGCCATAAAATCAGTAGATATTTTGTGCCTGTGTTTTGTAGTAAATGAAGTTTAGATTATCTGTGCTGTGAAGGAGGTTGGTGTCCAATATTTGCTAGTTTTGTGTTAACCAGGTGATGGCAAAGGCAACAGACATAGCCCTGGGTGAGGAAAGGATCCCAGGTGCTGATCCCAGGACTGTTTTGCTTCCCAGACACTGACACTGGCAGGAAGCTTTGGAAATTTTCACCTGGAAGAACCTGGCACTGCAGACAGGGAGGAAAGGGATGTGAGTCCACATGTACCCACTGTGGGGAGGTGTCCCATTCTATGGAGGGAAAGCTTTAAGAACCACATCCCACTTCCAAGGCCTTCAGTGGGAAAAAACCAGTTCCTCACCCCAGGTTTGAACTAACAAGGCCCAACTCTGAGCTCTGTCAGGATGGGATAACCCCAGACATGTCACAGCTCAGCTTTGTGTCACTGCAGAAAGGAAACCTCCTGGGCTATGTGGAAGCCACATCACGAGCTGTGTGAAGCACAGGTCATCTTCTCATCCCACGTGTGGATCCTGATCCATAGGCTGGATCCTAATCTCTGACACGTGATAACACCTCAGAGGTGACCTCAGCAGGAAGGTGCCAGAGCAGTGACATGTCCGAACGAGTACAGATATTAGTGGGGTTGTTAGTAAGGAAAGGTGAGAGGTGTATTAGCTCAGATTCCTAAGGGAACCTTTACTGTGCCAACCTTCCCAGCTTTTCCAGGAGCTTTTCCCACCCTCGAGGCCCCTCTGGCCCTGCAGAAAGCTGTCCATGGCTCTGCTGCAGCGTGGAGCTCCCCTCATGGGAAGTGTGTTGCAGTGCTGGGAAAACTCTGGAAAGAGTCCCCTTTCCTGCAGGATGGGAGTTAAATTAGGCCACGTTTTTGTACCACAAGGCATTTTTGTACTTTTTATTATTATTCTGAGAACGGCAGTTCACAGAACCGGGCTGCTGATTTCTACACAGTGCAGATAAGAACTAAATTGGTCCAAAGTTTAACAGTTTCCAGGGCTGGTCTGTCACACCCTGCCCATGCGGAACACTGCCCCGGCTCACAGCACCCCTGAGCGTGACCACGGATTTCAGCCTGGCTTGGAATTCTCCCCCCATGTCTGTACCCTTGATTCTCCTTGTCTAACTCCCCACACAACTTCATTGTCATCCCCCTTCCCATCCCCTCCTCTCCACCACGGCCATTCTTCCCATCCTTCCCGACCCCCAGCTTCCCTCCCCCAGGACATGGTCATTCCCTCTGCCCTCCCTGAACCCCAGGACATGGCCATTCCCCCACTCCTTCCCAACCTCCAGCTCCCCCCCAGGACATGGCCGTTCCCTTCACCCTTCCTGAACCCCGGCTCCCCCAGGACATGGCCATTCCCTCCATCCTTCCCGATCCCCAGCTCTCCCAGCTCATGGCCATTCCCCCGATCCTGCCCGACCCCATCCCTGCCCTGGATCACCCCAATCCGCGCCGCCACCTGCCGCGGTTCCCCCTCCATCCCGCCGGGCCGGCCTGAGGCGGGGCGGGGGGCGGGCAGGGCGTCCCCGGGGCCGGAGGGAGGGCCGGGAGCCGCGCCGGTCCCGTCCCATCCCGCCGTCCGTCCGTGCGGCCCCGTCCCGGCTTTGTTGCGCTCGGGGGCGGGGAAGCGCCGGGAAGCGCAAGGGAGCGGAGGGAAGCGGGGAAGGCTCCGCTCCTCCTCCGCGGCCCCGGCCCCGCTCATGGCGACGCTGGGCACATCCGGGCCTCTCCTCATCCTCCTCCTCCTCCTCCTCCGGCGGCCGCCGCTGCCCTGAGCGCCCGGCCCGGCTCCATTCGCGCCTCCCCCGAGCCCTTGGCGGAGCAGCGGCGGGGGAGCCCCGGCCGGGGCCATGTCCAACCCGGGGGCCCGGCGGAACGGGCCCGTCAAGCTGCGGCTGACAGGTGAGGCCGGGCCGGGGCCGGGGCCGGGGCGGCAGCGGCGGCTCCGGGTGGCGTTGAGGTTGAACCTGGGACCGGAGCGGCCCCCGGGCCTCGGGGGGAAGGGGAGGGAAGGGCAGGGCGAGGCTCCCTCGCTCGGCCCGGGCTCGGCGTGTCCGGGCTCCGCCGCCCGCCCGGGCCCGGCCCCGCCGCCGCCTGGGCGAACTTCGGGCACCGCACCCCAACTCGGGGGTCATTCCCCTCCTCGGCGCGGCGCGAACTCGGGAGAAACTGTCACGCTCTTTGTTTTGGTCTCTTTGTTTGTTGTTGTTGTTGTGCTGTTGGGGATTTTTAACCGATTTGCTGGGCTGAGGTCGCCGGGCACCGAAGAGGCTCCCCAGGGCAGCGGGCACGGCCCCGGCCCTGCCGGAGCTCGGGGAGTTTGGGCAACGCACATGGAGGGGTTTTGGGGTGTCCTGGGCAGGGCCAGGATTTGGGATGGATGATCCTGGTGGGTCCCTTCCAGCTCAGCGTATTCCCTGGTCCTGTGGTGGTTCGCAGTGGCTTGCGCTGCCCTCTTCCACAAGACCACTTGACCCCAGATATTTCAAAATACCATAAAAACGCTTCACCTGCTTGCTGGGGAGGAAAACAGTCTGGTTTTAAATACTTAAAACTATGTCCTCTCCCGGATAAGAACCCAGGGAAATGGGTTTAGAGGAAAAAAAATATATTAGAAGTCCTGCTAGAGCTTTCTATATTAAAAATACAGGACACTTTGAACTAGCTCTTTTCTTTAAAGTAAGTCCTCCAGTAGATAAGCGATATTTTGTGTTCTGAAGCATCAGTACCTGAAGGTAAGGAATTAGGAAAGAATAGATAACACTGTAAATACTCATCTCTACATATAGGGCATTTAACCAGCTTGCAAAGCAAATGTTTTTAAAAATACCACAAGAGTTGATACATTTACTTTAGGTGAATGAGAAATATCTCCAGTTTAATGCCTAATAAAGAGAGGTGTTTTCATACTGATTTTTCCAAGTGTGTTGTTTTTACAGGGAAAGTAAAATGTATCTGCTTATGCTTTACTTTGGAAATACTTGGACTAGATTTGTAATCCAGTTTTCAGAGAGATTTGTGAGTGTCTATATATTACAGTTGGAAATAAAACTCTTAAAATGAGCTGCTGCATGAACAGTGGTGCCTTGTTTTTACAGAGTGTTTTGTAGCCTTCTCCTCAGGTTATTGCTGTATTGATGCAGTGCTTTAATACTTTTTTCCCTGAGCAGTGAGTGCTCAGACTTGCTTATCTTTGGAACATTAAACATGGTCTGTAGCCTTATTTAAGAGCATGGAAAACACTGTCTAGGGAGTTGTCTTTCTCACCTCTGTGTTTTGTGTTCAAATTTGTTTCATATTTCATTTTTATTGAGGATTAAGCATCTAATGAAATCGTGCCTGTGACAATAACAGTGTGCTGTGGGGAGTGTGATTGTATCAGAACTCACTTTTATGCGCTGAGTTTCACTCTGATCAGTCCCCAAACCAGGCAGGTACAATCCTAAGGAATGGTTTTGAGTTTTTTGGCATCTTGAGCACAGGACGAAGATAAAATGGTCTTTCTAGGGGCTGTTCCAGGGTCAGCAGCTCTTGCAGTTGCTGAGGACCAGTTCTGTTATTGGAAGTTTATAGGAAACATTGGCCTGTTTCTGGAGCTGAACAGCTTGAGGTGTTTTCTGCTGTAGGTAATTGTGAGTTGTTTCACATAAGGTCATTTGTTGTAAGGAAGCTTTACATGTTTAAGGAAAACACTGAATCTTATTAATTCAGCTGACATGTTGTCACTTCTTGCCTAGGAATAGTTTGAAGTGTTCTGTGTGGTTTTGATTACCCTTTTTGATTGGAAAAGCAGTTTGAGGGCTCTTGAATTCTGAAACTGTTTGGAATTAGAAGAATCTGTATATCCAGTGTTTTTAAAAGTTTATTCTCGAACTGACAAATGCTATTTAATCTTAATTTTCTTTGGCTCTGTGAAACCAGCAGTCTTCTGTTTTGGCTCGAATGTTTATAGGATTAATTCTGCAATCATTGTTTTAATGCTTATCTTTTCTGTTCATTATCTCTAAATTAGATGGTATAGATTAAAAAATGGATTTCAAGAACTGGATTCAATTAGCAGTTTTTCAGGACATAAACATTAAAGGTTTAGATGGAAAACATTGTTTTGACTGACTGGATAAATGACAGGGTAATGTTTGATGTGAGTCCAAGAACTGATCTGGAGCTGGTGCCCAACTTCTCAGTCCATCTTGAGGAGCCAAATAAAATATTTAACCTAGGCCTCATTTTGCAAAAAAGGTTGATTCTTTGTTGGGACCTTAAGAAAGTTCTGAGAAATGTTTGGCATACCTTTACACTAAGTGTTTAACAGTTTATTTAGGTCTGGGTTCCATAACAGACACAAACCACAGCGGTGGCACACTTGGAGTAAGTTTTTATTTAGTTTGCGGCGCATCTGTGTTAGACATTTCTTATGAAAGGTTATTCTTCTGCTCTGAGGTTCAGTTGTCTGTTGCAAATATCACCTGACTCTTTAGTGATACACAGGTCAATACATTTGCATTATCTTGAGCTGGAAAATTGCTGCATAATTGTTAAAATCCAGATATTATGGTTTCTGATGTTCCTTCTAGCAGGAGGTGTAAACCATTGTTTCTGATTAAAATATAGGCAATGTAATTTAAATTAGCTGAAGTCTAGAATTGCACCAGTCTTCTGCAAACTTTACCTTAGCAGCTTGTAATAACAATATCCAGGGAAGCTGTACTGTAAGGAAGATTCTTCAGCTCTCACATCTTTACCCCCACTTGATCTAGTCCTGAGTACATCTGAGTTCTCCAAAAGCTGCAAGTGCTGTCACCCCCTTCCATTCCTACTTGTGATTTTTC